AAAAGAGAGAGGATATAATTAAAGTTTTTTTAAAGAGCAAGATTCTAACTTCTTTACGATAAACAGAGGAACCCACAAGCGAATACAAACTCGGTTGATACGATTTCCAAAGACAGGCTTTATTGAGAACCAGCTGAAGAAATGGTGATGTAAAGCTCCTGCTGGCAGTGGTGAGAGTGGAACTGAAGATGGAGGCAGCATGCTGATAGAAGGAGCGGGCAGGTAGCTGTAAGTGAAGGTGATGATCCTGAGGCACAGAAAAAACAATGTTAAGTTTCACAGCACGAATGGGGAAAAAAACTTGTGTTGTACGACAAAATCTGGCAGACAGTGGATGAAGAACAAGGGTTTTATACTGCAGGACTGAATGAGTTGATGGTTGGCAGGTTTGAGCATCCAGACAGGTGATCAGGTAATCAGGGAGAGTGGGAGGAGTCCACAGACACACAGAGAGAGGCAAGGACCTGACTGATACAGTTTTGTTGTTGATACATGAATCGTGGGAATGTATTCTCATTGACCGGGAAGCTTGAGTTTGACAAGCTGAGGGGTTAATAATTCTTGTCAATCTGATAAGGGGAATGTAAGCAAGGAGAGAGTTTTCTAGAGTCTGTTTTTAAGGGGATGTTTCGAGAGGAAGAGCCAAACCTTCTGACCTGGTTTATAGGTAGGTGGCAGGAGGCGACGATTAGCAATTTGACGGTTGTTGTCTGTGGGGCAAAGCAGGGCTGAGCAGGTATCTCTCCAGATCTTCTGACAGCGGAAAATATGAGCCTGGGCAGAAGGAACTGCAATCATCCTCCTCAATGAGCGGCAGATACAGATCTGCTGTAAACATGCTCGCTATGGCAGGAGTTTTGTACCTTCTGCCATAGCATCTCTAAACAAGGTATCCCGGTAACAGCCGTGGGTGGGTGCTACATACAGGACAGGGAAGGGTTAATGTGCTAAATGTGCTGCATTAAGTGTTTATTCTTGTTATTTTGTCGTGTCCATATGTATCTCGTATCTATGTATGTATGTAAGTCTGAAAGCTATGTACAGACGGCAGTGACAAATTTCCTGTGAAGGACAATAAAGTATCTATCTATTAGAGTAAAGTTAAACCGACCAAAAACCAGAGCCCAGTGGGCCTGGTGAGAGTTCAGCCGCATAGCAGTTTGTATGTAGGCCAATTTCTTATGGTCGGTCTAGCCAGTGTCTCCACTCCTCAAAGGCCAGTTTAACAGGCAACAATTCCCTGTTACCAACATCACAGTTTGGCTCCGATGGAGTCAGACGACAAGAGAGGAAAGCACAGGGATGCAGCTTTTGGTCTGGAGTAGAGCGCTGGGACAACACCGCCCCGTCTCCAGTGTTGGAAGCATCCACCTCAAAAATGAACTGACATTGGGGTTAGGCTGAACCAGAATAGGGGATGAGGTAAATCTGTGCTTTAGCTCTGTGAATGCAGCCTCAGTTTCAGGGGTCCAAGAGAAAAGGGGAGGAAGGTGAGGTGAGCTGGGTGAGTGGTACAGGTACCCAACTGGAGTCGTAAAAGTTAGCAAAACCAAGAAACCGTTGTAGTTGTTTCAGGTTAGTTGGTCTAGGCCACTCTGCAACTGCCTGGACCTTTTCAGGATCTGTCCTCACCTGCCCACTCACCACAATGAAGCCCAGAAAACTCACTGAGCTGGTGTGGAAATCACACTTCTCCACCTTGACAAACAACTTGTTCTCCAGGAGCCTTTGCAGCACAGATCCTTCGGCTCTAGGTGGGTGGTCGTCTGCCTCGACATCATTCACCAATGCCTGAAACACTGCAGGGGCATTGGTTAGACCGAAAGGCATAACCAAGTATTCAAAATGTCCCAGAGGGGTGTTGAATGCTGTCTTCCATTCATCCCCCATCCCTAATACTAACCAAGTGGTATGCATTCATAGGTCCAGCTTGGAAATGACAGTGGCATCGTGAAGAGGTTCAAAAGCTGAGTTTATAAGTGGCAGAGGAAACTCGTTTTTGACAGTTATGTCTTTCAGGCCCCGATAATCAATACATGGACTAAGGGTCTTGTCTTTCTTGGAGATAAAGAAGAACCCGGCACCAACAGGAGAGGAAGAGTGACAGATAATACCTGCAGCAACCAAGTTGTTGATGTATTTTTCCATCGCCTCCCTTTCAGGACGAGACAGGTTGTATAACCGGCTAGTAGGTAGAGTGGATCCAGGAAGAAGGTCAATGGCGCAGTCATAGGGACAATGTGGTGGCATGGATAGGGCCTTCTCCTTGCTGAAGACCTCCCCCAAATCATGATACTCAGGTGGGACAGATGACAAATCTGGTGGCTCAGAGACTGGTGGGATGGCAGCTGCCTCTGGTGGACCAAGAGCAGATTGCAAACAAATGCTATGGCAAGATGTATTCCAACTCACCACCTTACCAGTAGTCCAGTCCAGATGAGGATTGTGTTTGATTAACCAGGGGTGTCCAAGAATCAGAGGTACTTTGGGTGATGATAGGACGTAGAATTGAATTTGTTCAAGGTGGTTTCCAGAGAGAAACAGAAGCACAGGAGCGGTTTGGTGGGTTACTTGAGCCAAAAGCCTTCCATCAAGAGCATTAGCCGTAAGGGGGGAGCAGAGTGCAGTCGTCTTAATGCCTGCCTGGAGAGCAAATTCCCGGTCCATAAAGTTCTCATCTGCTCCAGAATCCACAAAAGCTGACGGAGAGCTGACGGAGACAAAGATTCATTATTCCAAATAGAGTGGCAGGCAATTGCATACGAGATTGGGGGACAGACGAAGTTTGGCTCACCGGTATCTACATATGAGCCCTTCCTTTTGGCCAAAGGGGGCAATTGGAGAGGAAATAACCAGTCTGACCACAGTTGTGCACTCACCCGCTCTTATCTGATGGAGGCGTTCGGCTAGGGACAGACGGGTTTGCCCCAGTTGCATAGGCTCCTCCTGCGCCTCTCACGGAAGCAATTATCCAGTCTTATGGCTAGGGAAATGAGTGAGTCTAGGCTAGTGGTCTCATCTTTGGCAGCCAACTCATCTCTTACCTGATCACTGAGCACTCCGAAGTGCCTCATCATTCCACCCCGAAACTACAGCCAATGTGCGGAATTCAATGGAAAACTCAGCTACACTGCGGGACCCCTGGTGGAGGAAAAACAGACAACTACCAGCATCACTGATGCATTCTGTTGACAAATTAAACCTTGGTGATCATTGGACTTTTCAGCAAGTTGAGCAAAAAATCCTGGAACATCCTGAAGTGGCCTTCTCAGTCACCAGATTTAAATCTGATTGAAAATATTTGGTGGGATTTAAAGAAGGCAGTTGCAGCATGGAAGCCATTAAACAGCATTGAGCTAAAGGCTTTTGCACGTGAAGAATGGGCAAAGATTCCAAAAGAGAGTTGTAAGAAGCTTGTCATCACTTACCGAAAATGTTTGTTAGAAGTTATAAAAGCTAAAGGATGTTCCACAAAAAAGTTGTTCAATGAGGTTTTTTCTAATTTATTGTCATTATCTTTCATCCACATCACTATAATGTCTTTTTAAGGTGAGGGGGGTTGAATATTTCTAAGAAAAAAAGAAATGCACATTTATTTGACAGCTGCAATTACTGGTTACATTGTAGATTAATATAAAACTTATAATGTCTAAAGAAACACTGAAGAGTACTTTTCTAGTACACTTCACTAATTGTACTTCCACACTTTTACTGAAGTAACATTTTGAATGCAGTTGTAGTGGTGTATTTTCATCAATCTATTATCAAACTGTTTTTCTATTCACTTCAGTGTGGACAGTGAAGTTTTTAGAAAATTAAAAAATAACTGAAAGACCTGCAGCTGGATTCATATCAAAAATGATTATGAAACAAGGCAGTAGGCTGTGGCTCAGAGGCAGAGTGGGTCGTCGATGAATCGGAAGGTTGGTTGGTTCGATCCCTGGCTCCTCCCGCCACATGTCGAAGTATCCTTGAGCAGGTAACTGAACCTGATTCACACAGCAAAGTATCAAGGATACTTCGCCACATGTCAAAGTATCCTCGAGCAAGATTCTGAACCTGATTCACACAGGACGATACTGAGTGAATGTGTATGTGAATGTGTATGAATGCGTTAGTTTCTGTTTGATGGGCTTTGCCATCACTGAGTGAATGTGAGGGCGAAAAAGTAAAAGGTGTAAAAGTGCTTTGAGTAGTCGGAAGACTAGAAAGGCACTATACAAGTATAGGTCTATTTACCGATTTCTTGTTTTGGCTCATTTAACAGAAGGAAGCAGTCTCCTACTGGACCTTGAATGTCACCATACTGAGGGCATTCTCTGAGAATTACTGTATGTATAACTCTCCCTTTGTATGATCTTTGAGAAAGCATTTGTGTTTTGCATTAATTATATTTATACATTTTAATAATGTTCACCTGATATTATAAAACTTTTTAGAAGTGAATGACACTACATAGTAGGGTGATACAGGGTTTATGAGTCAATATAATGTGATATATTGCAATACTGTAAGCAACCACAAGGGGCGGCTGTGGTGCAGAGGCAGAGCGGGTCGTTCCCTGATCGGAAGGTTGTGGGTTCAATCCCTGGCTCCTGGTGCCATATGTCGAAGTATTCTTGAGCAAGATACTGAACCCCAAATTGCTCCCGATGCCGTGAATGTGTATGAATGTTAGTTTCTGTTCGATGGACTGTGTGAATGTGTGTGAAAGGGTGAATGTGGCACGTAGTGTTAAAGCGCTTTGAGTGGTCGGAAGACTAAACAGGTGCTATACAAGTACAGGTCCATTTACCATTTACCATTTACCAACACAAGTTTGCAGCCACCATAGTTTCTCCTACACTCTTATCAAGGGAGGCCAAAGCAAGATGTATAAAAATGGTTGCGATCTGCTGCTAATAAAATACTGAAAGTCTGTAATAAATAATGTATTCTGAGCAGGTGATCCATGTCCTGTCTCTGTGTTACAGGGTCTGAATTTGACTGCTATGTCGTTCTCTCTCTCCACACGGCGACGGCAAGGATCTGCCGCACAAAAACTGTGTCCAACAGTAGAAACCCAGAGTGGAATGAAACTTTTACCTTCAGGGTTCCCACCCAAGTGAAAGTGAGTCTATTCAATATATGTATTACTTCTTCTTCTTCAAAAGACAGGAATTAATAATAAATAGGTACAGGTAAGGGGACAAAGAAAAATAAATAAATAGTTTAAAGTTAAAATGCTTGTGTAAGCATGTCAGCCAGTGTGTGCATGTGTGTCTGAGAGGGCCATCCCCAGGATAAAAGCATGAGAGCTGTTTACAGGGGTCCTGGCAGGGCGGGTGGGAATATATCTGTGTGTATGCATGTTTATTAGTTTGTGTTACAAAGGTAGATAGGCAAGTGGTATTGATGAATGGTAAACACATCTCTGAAATGAATGTTCTTGGTTGTTTTTTAATGCTATTTGTCTTTCTGATTAAATATAACACTGGGATGTTGAGATGTTATTTTTATCTTTCCAACTCACCAGGTTTTTTTTTTTTTATTATTGTTTTTGGCATTTGTTAAGGTCACCAGTATGGGTTGTTCATATTTCAGTTGTGGTTCAACTGAATGAATAAATACTTCTGGAAGAGCTATTGAGGGGTTTGTTAGGTATAACAATATGTCATCTGCATGTAAGCTAATTGTGTGGTGAAAATGTATTGTCTGTATACCTGTAATACAAATGTTTTGTCGAGTGGAAGTCTTTGCAGTGTGAAGTGTTGAGAGTAATGGTCCACTAAATGAATGACTCCCCAAAAATCCAAACCAAATTTCTTAAGGGCAATGGTAAATGGATGGCATTATACATAGTGATTTTATATTATTTATTCATACACTGATGGCAGGGGCCAGTGACATGCATTGTGTCAACTGCTCACCAGGAACAGAAACTAATGCTCTTTGGGAACAATTTGGAGTTCAGTATCTTGCCCAGGGATACCTCCACGCTTCAAAGTAGTGGATGACCTACTCTATCTCTAAGCCACAGCCACCCATGGAAATTCAAAGAAATGTTGGGTTGGGCTTTACTAATTATCTCAATTAATCAGGCTTATAGGTTTGTAGCTGGTGGTGAGGGTTGGGTCTTTATAAGTTTTTAACAAAACCGAAATAAAAGCTGTATTTATGTGGGTAGGTATGGATTCTGATTTTATTTCATTGACCTGTTAAACAAAGGGTTGCCAAAAATATTTTTTTAAATTATATCATGTAGCCATCAGACACAGGGGATTTATTGTTCATGTCTCATATTCAAAGAGACTAATGCAAGCTAGCTTGGCAATGACAGCAAAAACAACAAGTCTTAATCCATTTAAAATCAGTTTATTTGATATTTTGATATAATTGAAATTGTACAAGTCACATGATCAACAAGAAGTAATGTCTATATTCTATTCTCTGTTTTACTCTATGTTCTATACATTTGATCATATTGTAGAAGTATGACCCAGAATCTGAATCATACATGCTGTACATAACATGCTGTCCTGTATGTACTTACAGCCTACATACAGCCCTACATACCTAATTAATTTATTATGTTGGGTTTCTTTTTTTAAATAGCCAATATTTTCTTCCCTTTAAGGAGAGTTGGCAATTATGGCTGAGTGCAAGTTAAACTAGAAAATAATGAGTTCTTCCCCATGTTTCCCCAGAATGTTTTGGAGATCAAGCTGTGTGATGAGGACTCCCTGACATATGATGACCTGATTTGCACTGTTCTGTTTGACGTCAGCAGCCTCACTATAGGGAAGAAGGAGACCAAGGCCTTCCCCATAAATCCTGAGGTAAAACACAAAGGAGCCACTGGAACCATTGGTTAGAAATGCTACTTGAAATCTGGTCCAAACAGTGTTCCAATGGCTGCCTCAATAATTGTCCCAATCCCAGCCAGAGGTGGCACTTAACAACCCCCAGAAATGCCAGAGAAGAGGTATAAGGAAGCAACATTAAACTCTTGAGCTCACCTGCAAAAAGAGAGGGGCCAGGAGGAGTTCCACTATTAGCTAACTTGGTGGCTCATATTACATGGTACATGGTAAATAGCCTGCACTTATATAGTGCCTTTTCTAGTCTTCTGACCACTCAACTTACACTACAGGTGTATATTTCACAGCACATTTTATAAGGAGTTCGGTCTAGACCTGCTCTATTTGAAAAGTGCCTGAGATAACTTCTGTTATTGAATTGGCCTATCAAATAAAATTGAATTGAATTGAATTCATTTATTGATGGTAGGTTCAAGGTGCAAACTGGTCATCAGAAACTAACTGATCACTTACACACTCATGGCACAGCATTGGGGTTTAGTATCTTGCCCAGGAACACTTTGATGCAGAGGGAGAAGCTGGGGATCGAACCGCAAACCATCTGATTAGTGGACAATCTGCTCTTCTTACCTCCATGAAGCCACAGGAATTTTACACCCACCAATACCATGTTACACATACCTACTGTTACTATAAATGTTACTCATTGTGCTATAATGTGATCGCACCACTTAAGTGCGTAAGTTGGCAATCATTAATTAATCCCCTCCTGCTCTAAACCACGCTTGGTTAGGATGGCAACTAGAGAGGCTCCGACTGAACAATATGAATATGTCCTCAAACCACTGACGCTTCGAGGTCCATGTCCTCAGCACCAGGCCCCACCAAACATGTTAGATTCTGGCAAGAAAATATGCCTGTTATAAGAAGTCTCAGCTGCCGTAACCAGGGAGACCACTGTACATACTCAATGGAATATAAAGGGAGAGATTGTCCTCAATACAACAGAGAACCATTACTTTAAATTCAGAACTGCTTTTGTAAGTTTTAATTTTAGTTTAGTATTGGCAAAGTAGCAAACCAGTGAAACCTCACCTAATTAAACTTAATATGGTGATGCTTGCTTTTAAACAACTGATAATCAAAGAATTGAAAAGAATGTTTCTTGTTGTTTGTTAACCGAGTAACTGACATTTTGTTTCTCTTGTTCACTTTTATTATAACACATGATGAACTTGTGGTAGAGTTGGAGCTACTCCAGAGGTATAAGGGATACTGGGTTTTGTATATTCCTGCTGTTACTTACTAGCCCATTGTTCACATATTTATAGAAAATTGGATCCTCTAGTGGTGCCCATACAAATGTCTCTAGTTGGTTGTAATGATTTCTTTGTTTTTGCAGTAAGGAAACCACTCCATGAATACTTCACTAAATTGCATCCTTGTGGGTAAGGTTTCAGCTTCAACAGTCCTGATTCCTGGTTAAGTGGACTACCAAGACATTTGACTGTATGTCATTTGGTTTGGGTTAGAAGTTGATTGCAGTTTTTCCTTGGCCCCCGTCGCCCAAGTGCTTGCTTATGGTGGTAATCTGTTGGGTCTTCTGTAAATGTTATAAGGAGTTCGGTCTAGACCTGCTCTATTAAAAGGGGCCTGAGATAACTTCTGTTATGATTGGCGCATAAAATAAAATTGAATTTAATTGAATTGAAGTCGTCAAGGAGCCCTCTTAAATGTAAACTAATTTGTAAATATCAGGGGCAACGATGCTAAACGTCTTCTCTTCGTGCCCATAATTTTTTTGTTTGAATATGTTAATAAATGTTACGGACTACTATTCATGGAAACTTTTACCCTGACTGTGCCCCACCAAAGGTAAGTCATGAAATTAGTTGGAAGATGAAATTACAGACCAAAGTAAAATTACATCTACTTAATTTAAACTTTGAGTTTAATATAATGATGAAGAATCAACAAGACTCTGAAA